ATAAACAAAGATTAATCCAAGCTAAACTAAAACATAAACAAAAATTAAACCAACAATGGAGGGGAAGGTGAAAATGAAAATTGAGAAATGAATTAGGGTTAAGGTTAAATGTAAGTAGAGGAATGAATTGGGTTAATTTTTATGGATTGGGTTGGGTTAGGTAAAATTGGGTTAAGTTTAATTTTGATTGAATTGAGTTTGAACTTGAGTTTGGGTTTGTGTTTGGATTTAGATTTGGATTTGAGTTTGAAAGATGAATTAAATTTAAAATAAAATTAATTTATATTTATTTTAATTTTTGCGGGGATGGAGATCTCCGCGGGGTCCCATGGGGTAAGGAAAATTCCGCGTGAAATTTCACGGGGGAAAATACTCCCCATCCTCATCCCGTGAGAAGGAATATTCTTTCTCGCTCCGTTCTCGTGATGGGGATTCCCACGGAATCCCACGAGAATCGGGAGAAATTGCCATCCCTAGTTGATGGTAATCTTACTAGTTTGGCTTCTGTTTTTCTGTAATCCAAAGTGAATTCACTTATTGCATTTTAAATTTGAATTGCGTTGACATAGTGTTTCAATGGCATTAATTTAACTATGAAAGTTCAATGACCTTGATTAGGAAATTAAGAAGTTTGAGCAGCTTACTGGAGTTGGCTCAGGTGAACCATGCCTTACAATGTAGATTTGAGCCCTTCTATTGAAATTTAAGTGTAAACAATTTCAATAGGTCACGATTATCACTTTAAAAACAGTACATGTGAAATTAGTACTCCACCTTTGATTGTGGACCGTGGACTGTTTTTATCCTTTTTTGCCATTAGAACCAGATTTTTTTTCTTTTAGTAAGGGAAAGGACAGTGGTCAGTGACCTTTGCATTTTTGGCCTCCGAGCTCAACCTTTTTTTTTTTTTTTATCAGCAAATTTTTTTTTTATTAAAGTGGGGTACAAAGTGATACCCAACGCATGTACATTTTAGACGGTCTTCTTTTCTACAAATCAATATAATCTGTTACACAATAAGAATCAAGGCACAACAAAATTATTAAACTCTCTTTTTAACAGCATGCTTACAAACAACAGCCACTTAACAAGATGTTGCTACTTCTTCTGCACAGGTTCAACTTAATGTTAGAACAACTTAAATATCTAAATGCCAAAGGTGTAAAAAAAAGTAAATAGACGTTTGGAAACAGCATACCAAACACAGAAACATGATTTTTAGCTCCAAAAACCACCTAATCACATTGAATCATCGTATATCAAATTTATTACCTTAGCAGCTACGGGGCACAAATAGTTTTGGCACGGACTGCACTGGCAGCGGATGCCGAATAGCTATATCCACTTCAAGTTCCACATCTTCAGTGGTAACTACTGTAATATCACTTGAAAAACAAACCTCAAATCAATCATATCAGATCATCTTTTAAAACCATTATCCTGGCCAAAATAAATCATGAACTCATATATGTTTCAACTCATATGCTGTTTCAAAGTGTGGATAACTCAATTGACATAGGTGCTACTCATTTCTTTCACACGTAATTGTCCTCTATTTGGATAACTCTTTATGGCTTTATCAGCATAGATACCATGACATGTAATGAATGCCCACAGCTTCCTTCACAACTTCCTTTTCTCCTCAAATGGAAACTGGAACTGCAGCTCCCCAGAGACTTAAGTAAGAGGGTACAAGAATAAGAATGTCATCCATGGGTGCCCGACTCTTAATCTCTTATACGCTAAAGTCAGTTTAGCATCTATTCTACAATCAAGGAACATCACCACCGTTCCCCATCAAGATTTGACACTGCCTTTGCAGTCCAAATCACTTTTGGAAAATCCTGTAATTATTCATTAGTAAAAGCCCATTCGAAGCTGCTCGAAGGTTATATTGAGGCAAGAAGTCTTAAAAATGGGAACGCAGCTCACATGGTTCATTGGCCAACGTATATAGAAATAGGTTCACAATTTGAACTGGCGAGGAAGGCGGCCACATCTACTCTGCAATCTTAAAATCTGTTTTGCAAAATCTTGATTACCTGTTAGCAAAAGCCCATCCATAACTCGGTTGAAAGTTAACCTTCGAGGCATAAATCCTCTATCAACCATCTCAATCAACAGTTTACCAGCTGTTGATAAATCATCTGATTTCTTCCTCACAAACATTGCACTTATCAAAATATTGTAGGTATCCAAATTTGGCAAGCATTCCCCACTGGCCATCTTTTCAAATAACTCCAACCCTTTCTCAATCTCTCCAGCATCGCAATGGCATCGAATTACAATATTGTATGTTTGCACATTTGGCTCACATTCATCATCCTTCATTCTTTCCATAAACTCCACTGCCCTGCTCATTTGTCCAGCATGACACAATCCCCTAATCAATACATTGTAAGTCATCGAATTAGGCACATAACCCTTACTTGCCATCTCCTCAAAAGCCAAGACAGCATTTTCCACACTATCCTTCTTACACAATACCTGAATCAAAGCATTATAAGTTGGAACAGAAGGAAGCACCCCTTCCTTGACCATACTATCAAACACATTTTGAGCCCTCTCAATCTTCCCTATGACACCAAACCCATGAACCATTGTGGTGTAAGTAACAACATCCATCTCACACTTCCTCTTCTTCATCTCTAAGTAGAACTCCCAAGCTTCCTTAATCTGACCAGTCCTAAAATACCCTTTGAGAATTATGTTATAAGTAGTCAAATTAGGATTCAATCTCCTCTCCACCATCTCCTTCAACACTTCCAGTGCCTTGGGCGTTCTTCTAATCAAACACCAACCATTTGCAATTATATTATAACTCACAACATCAGCCTTAAACTTCCCTCTTAGAGCCTTAAACAAATTATATGCCTTTTCTACACGTCTTGCTTTGCAGAGAACATCAAGCATTGTATTAAACGAATGTAAATCCTGAAAACAGCCATGCTTATGCATTGACAGGAACAAATTAACAGCTTTATCGAGTTTCCCGGCGGCGACCTACCTTTCGGTCACGATTGCGCAGGTCCTTGGGGAGGGGCCCAGACGGATGGAGCGCATCCGGTGTAGAAGAGACGAAACAATTTTGTAATCGCGGAGGCGGTGGCGATGTCGATTGCGTGGTCAGGAGGATGAGGAGTGGCGGCAAATGGGATGATGGAGGAGGATATGGAAGAATTGGAGGGCCTTGGGACCGTGGTTCCAGAGGCGCTTGATGATGGTATCTACAAGGTGAGGGGTCCAGGTGATGGAAGGAGAGAAAAGGAGTTGAGACAGGGTGTCCCGGTCGGTGGAGGTAAGAACAAGGTTAGAGATGGCAGCAGCGGCTGTCTCTTGTGGCGGTGCTGTGCTGGAATTGGCAGTGGAGGTTGAGAAGGGGGTTGGCGGGCGGAAAAGCAGAAGGTAGATTGAAGTGTTGGATGGGAGAGGAGTGCGTTTGGGAAGGAGAGAGGACATTTTCGAAGCTGATAAGGGAAGGAAGAGGATGGACGGAGTTGTCGGATTTGCGGTATAAAGAGTGGAAGAGATTGAAGGAATGAATATGAGTTGGAGGAGGAGACCGTGGGATCGTCGAGCCCCTTTCAATGGTTTACTTCCTATTTGGTCGCTCAACTTTGTCATTTGATATCGAATTGGTCCTCAACTTTTTTGGCACATTTTTAGTCCCCCAACTCCATTTTAGCTCAATATCGAGTTGGAGGAGGGAATGTACAATGAGTAACAATGACAAAGCTCGGTGAGAAAAGACTTCAGTCTCACTAGCCAAATATTTAAATATCTAAATATAGAAGATTTTTTCACTCATCAGCGAGAATTGGAATCAATGTAACTTCCCTTCTCAACCTCTTCACCTCTTTCTCTCACACGTTGCATCACTTACTATGTCCTATAAAAAAAATAAAAAAATTTAATCTAATGTCATATATTTTTTTTATAAAAATCTAATGTGATATCATTATAATTAATATTATCTTATATAAAATTGTATTTTATATATTTAACTTACAAATAAAACACATGACAGAATACATCTTTTATAATGCAAAAAACTTCTTAATATTATTTTATTTAACTCACATTTTATATATTCAAATAAAAAAATTGAATTAAAAATTAACGATTAAAAAATCCTTTGATCCAATGGCTTAAAAGCCATTGCCTGTAGTACACTACCACATTTTGGTACTTAAAAAATTGTAACCAAGCTTGATCTCTGTAAAGAGACAAGCTTAGTTACATAACAGGCTGCATCTCAATTCTCTTTTGGGAAAGAACAATAGAAGAAAACTCTATTGTAGATGTTTTAAATTGGTATTTTCGTTAACTGTCACTTTAGGTAATTTCATACTTCTCTCTTTTTAGAATAATCGTTATTTTTTTATCTATTAGAATATAGTAATTATAATATATGGTTACTCTCACAAAACTAGTGGTTTGGTTAGCACAGCTAATCCTGTGGGCATAGGTTCTAGATTTTTCAATAGGACACTAACTGACCCACACTCTATTGACTCGAGGGAGAGTTAATTTTTTTTTTTTTAAATAAGATTTTAGGCATTATGAGATTTTTTTTTTTAAAGATTCAACACAACTTGATTTATGATTAATTTAAATTTAATATAATTTTTAAATATCAAAGAGTTTAGTATCAAGAAATATATAACATTGATCAGTATAGCTTTGTATTTAATATATTATATAATATATTTATTAAAAATTTATTTTTTATATAAAATTAAAAATAAATAAATTTTAAAATACAACTATATACATAATATGTAAAAATTAATTATATTAATAATATTTGTATTAAATTTTAATAACTAAATTAGATGAATCTCAAATAATGTTATCAAATCAAAGAATATCCTAATCATTTTTCCTTTCAATAATTCTTCCATAGGTGAGCTTCCTGGTTTTTGCTCTTTGAAGTTCTCTGGTCCATCTCACTAATAGAAGTTTGATGGAAAAGATAAAATTGCCTCAGGGCCTGGAGTTGTATGCGGAATTCTCTTTGGTTGATAGGAGTTGTCTCAAGAACCTAATAATTCTCTGTCAAAGGAGTGACACGATAGTTCTTTGGAGAGTAGATTGTCATATAGTCTATAGGTTACTATCTTATAGGACGGCTAAAACCAACATTTAGTTCTTCATCTTGTAAAATAGGTAGATTTTAACCATAACCTTATAATATAACACTTTTAGTCATTTATTTTATAAAATTGATAGGTTTTAACTTCTTACCTTATAAAGTTGATAGGTTTTAACCTCTCACTTTATATTATGACACTTTTAACTCTTTATATGCACGAATTAAAAAAAATAGCCTTTATTTAACATCAAATTTTAATATTTTATTAGTTTTGTTAGTTAACTGTCAGTTCTGTTAGTTGATTGTCAGTTTTATTAGCTGACTATTAGTTCTGTTAGTTGACTATTAGTTCCGTTAATTGACTGTTAGTATCCACTAATATTTCGTTAATGAAACTAACAAATAAAATTGAATTTAAATTTTATATTTTTTATAACGGAATGCTAACAAATGTTAATCGTTAACTAATAGAACTAATAAAATATTATAACTTGATGTTAAATGAGGATTATTTTCTTTAATTCGTATCGGTGATGGGTTAAAAATATCACAATATAAGGTAAATGATTAAAACCTACCAACTTTGTAAGGTGAGGGGCTAAAACTTACTAAATTTATAAGATAAAAGGTTAAAACTGTCATGTTATAAGGTAAAAAATTAAAACATATCAATTTTATAAGATGAGAAACTAAATATTGGTTTTTGCCGACTTGGCCCGTTGACTACTTGCAGGTTCCTTGAGCCAATTCAGCAAATAATGAATGATATTACAATCCCATTAATTTTGCTGATTTTTTTTCCTTAAACAGCCAGTTAGATGTTAAGAAACATCAACGTATCGATTGATTTAAAATTGATATCAATTATTTTATTAATTATTAATTATTAATTTTAATTATTTTTAATAAACAAATTAAATAAAGTTAATATATGTTAAGAGTGAAAGATAAAACATATGATTTTTAAATACAAAAAATGGTAAAATATT